GTTACTTTATGATGGGTCGGTATATACCAGTAAGAGTTTGATTTGTTTGCTCGTGATTCAGATTTAATTGTTGATGCGTTATGAACGCTTCATACATACTGTCACTATTGAGCAGATTGTTTCTCTTTTCGTAATTTTCTAGTTTTTTCTGAGTTATTTTATCATACAATGCGAAAGAAAATGACATGGAATCAATTTTAGACGAATAATTCGTTTGATGGGATGTTTTCTTCGATTGCCAGCAAAATTGTATTGTTGATTATGCTGACTGATATTGCGTTCGCAAATTGAACAATGATTGCAATGTGGAGACTCGCTTACAATTAGCTTGTGTCGCATTCAGACGAAACAGTTCTGTTTCTTGGAATTTCGATTCATTTAGCAAATGAGTTTAAGAGCAGCATGACAACACGAATACATCGTTTATGGCAACCGTCAAATCCTCAATTCCGAGTGTTTCTTCCGGATTTCTGGGTGAAAGTTGTTGAAGCACCAACGTATGGACGGAAACGGTTGCCGAAAAACTGTGTTAAATTCGAAGTTGATAAAAGGTTCCATTCAATTTGGTTGAAATGTTTCTAATAAACCAATTCATCGTCCGAACGTTTTCCTGTCAAGCTTTTGTTTTATTGAACAGCTTCAGCAGTTGAATGAACAGAAGAGAATGGGCAAGATAATTCACTGAAGGAGGCGTTGACTGTAAAAGTGAATGAGTCGTGTGCGAGAAGCTCAAAATTAATTAATTAATTCAAAAATTAATTAATTAATTAATTCAAGTTGGTTCAAAATGAGTTGTTCCTATTGAACAAAAATTAATTCAAAATGAAAAGTTGTTCCAATTGAAAGAAGTTAAATCAGAAATCTCATTCAGGATGTCAAGGCATGATGTACGCGAATATTTGGAAAAGATCTATCAACTTCCTGTACGAGATGTTCGGATCGAGGTATAATTCTATAATATGCCCACGAATATTGTCTGTATCAAAGTAAAACGACTGAGCACAATATTAAGAAGTCATTGAGCACGAATATTTCTGCAATAAGCTTTTACCGGTTGCTAGAGCAGTAGCAAAACGCTGCAAACAATTGAAATTATGATTGAAATGACT